CGTAATAGGATTATCGAAGATGCTTTGCAAAAGCTAAGCAGAGTATTACGAGACTGGAAAATTTCGTTGGAAACAAAGAAAAGGATATTGAATTGTGACGTGATATCTGTCCTCCTGCTGGGCAATCTCCCCAAAGATGAAGAAGAGACTTGAAGCTAAAGAAATGTGGTTCTACCGCAAGATGCTGAGGATCCCAAGGAGTGAACATATGAGAAACAACGATATTTTGGAGAGAATGGAAACAAAGAGGTAACCTATTCTTAAAATCGGGAAGAAGTAGTTCAAATTTATGGGACACGTAATGAGGAAGGTGGGCTTGGAAATTCTGATACTCACAGGGCGAATAGAGGCAAACAACGCGTGGCATATTTAATGGGCTTGAGCAAATGGATGACAGAACAGGATGTGGGAGAAATAACAAAAAGACAAAATTTATTAAGAGCTACAAGAGACAGGAGGATGTGGAGGGCCATGACTGCTTACGACCTGAACGGAAACAGCATATAAAAGAATAAAGAAGTTTATTTTATCTTTGGACATAACATTGAATTTGAAGTAAAAATGAAATTTGAAATAAAATAATTATGTAGTTTGGTTTGGTTTATTTTGTTTTACGGCATATCAACCTCAATGGGTTATTTAATGCCGACATTTTTTTATTGCTGGTAATATTTTTTGTCGAAAATCTGTTTCTGGTAATATATTTCCTTAAAAATTGTATTACTGGTAATAATTTTTTTCAAAAAAGTATTGCTGGTAATAGTTAACTATTTGCCCATAGCTGGGATCCTAACAGGTGCTACCACCCCGGTTCAGGGTGGACCTGGGAATACCAGCAATTAAGAGGTGGTTCCACGCTCCTCAAAACCTCCTGATCAGAGAGGCCTTGCTGCTGGATGTAGTTTAACGTCTTACCCAGGACGCGGATGTAGTTTAACGTCTTACCCAGGACGGAATTATGTAGTAGATCACCACAAAAGTACGTTCCCGTATAGAAAATTAAAAGCCAAATTTTACAAAATTGCAAAAGACATTTATTAGTCAAGTACAGAGTCTCCATTGTTTTTTACAAATGTCTCGCGTCGTCCTTCAAACTTGTTGATGCAATTTTTTTGTGGAGACTTCGTTTTTTTTTTTTATTTTGTTGGAAGAAGGTTGTGAGCCAGAGTCAATTGACTATACAGAGCCAATTTTGTTGTCATTTAAATTGTTCTGTAGAGACCAGAACAAATTAAAACCCGAAGGAACCAAGTCAGGAGAATACGGTGGGTGTTAGAGTGTGGTTTCCAATTCACCTCTGACTTTCTACAAGGTCTGCTTTGAAATATCCTGCGGTCTTGCATTGTCTGTGTGGAAAATGAAACCTTTTCGATTTGCCAAAATGAACAGCCATATTGTGATTGGTGAGTTAGTCACAATACTACTTTGCAGGTATTGTTTCGCCGGCTGGAAGTAGATTGAAGTGAATTAACCCTCTGAAATCACAACAAACGGACAGCAACTTTTTCATTGGCTACAAAAGGTCAATTTAATCACGGTTTCTGGACATTCACGATTTTGTTTTTGAATACAATCCATTTTTCATCGTCTGTGACAATTCTGTTCAAGAACGGCTCCTTTTCTTGGGGTAACAGCAAAGAAATTGCTGCAGTAACATGATCGAATTTGTTCAAGCAGACACCCCCACCTTCATTGACGTCAGAGGTCGCCCGGAGCGTGGTTGATCGTTTAGATTACAATCCCCCAGATGAAAATTTGCCAAATCAATTTTTGATCGTCTGAAATGCTGGAACGCGATCCACATAAATCTTCTGAATGGCTTTTTTTTCCGACGCTTAATTGTTTCCAAAACCCATAGAGACTGAAATTACCAAAGTGGAACTTGTCAGCTTCCAACTGTGAGGCATTTATCCATGGAGAAAATGTCAACATTCAACAAAGTCTGACTCGCAACAGAACGTGGTAAGCTTTTAATTTGGAACACACCAGAAATCAACACCAAAACAAACACCAATCAACATTTAGTATCCAATTTTAGGTTAATAAGCACAAATTTTACGCTATTAGTCAACTACCTAATCTCCATTGTCTTTGACAAGTGTCTCCCATCGTTCTGCAAGTTTGTTGATGCTATTTTTATAGAAATTTTAAGGCTTTTGTTGGAAGAAGGTTGTGAACTAGATTCGACTGCCTGTACAGAGTCAATATTTTTGTCATTTCATTTATTCTGTAGAACCCAGAACAAATGAAAATCCGAAGGAGCTAAGTCAGGAGAATACGGCTGATGCTAGAGGGTGGGGTCTCATTTCAAATCTTTAAATTTCTGCAAGGTCTGTTTTGGAACATGTGGTTTTGCGTTGTCGTGCTAAAAAATGTTACCTTTCGATTTGCCAAAAATTGGCCGTTTTAACTTGAACCTAAGGTCTTTCAAAATCTTAGCAATCTCTTCCATAGAATTCTTCAGTTTATTCTCCACGATGGCAAGCAGAACGTCTTCATC